AAGATCAAGGAAGTCTTCGCTGCAGAGTACATGAGAGAAGTCTCGCCATCCTGACCTCTAAGGAGCCTTCTCGCTGTAAGACAGACTTGTTGGTTCTTTGGCAGTCCATGGCGAGACTTCCTCTCCTGTACTCTGGACATGTGATCTGGACACACCATCCCTGGAGGACATCATGCTTGGGAAAGTGCAGGGGCATGAAAAAGAAGACTCTCAACGAGTTGGATTGACCCGGAACAACTGTGGGGATGACACAGGACCCGATAATGTTTCATTCTGCTGTGCATCAGGAGCCGGCACCGACAGGAGGGCCCCTAAGAACGCTCCTCGTGCCCCGGCGGCGATGTGGTTACCTTTGCACAGGTAACCACAGGCCGGTGGTTTAAACCCACCAGCGGCTCCAAAGGAGAAAGATGAGCCTGTGTGCTCCGGTACGGATGGAGCGTCGGAAACCGTGAGTCGGAAGGCACTGGACGGCAGGGCAGAAACTTCCCAGGAAGACCCCGCGCGCGCTGTTCGGTAAAGGAACTCAACCAGGACAAGCGGGGCTCTCGCAGAGAGAGACTGCTTCCCTTTCCGGGAGCCCGGGCCTGCAACCCGGAAGCCAACGGAAAGGGGCGCGTGGCATTCTGGGAAGAGTTGCAGGAACCCGGCTAGCGTTTGTTACCAAGGCAACCAGCGGCGCGGGTCCGATAGCTGCTGTTACAAACCTGGGAAGAGATGCTCAGAGAGCGTCTGGGGTGAGAGAAAACGCTTTGCGGTCGTGCCCTGAGAAGTGTCACTAATGAAGCGTGTGGCCCAGTGGCCCTCTTTGGAGTTCTCCGAGCTCTTTTCCAGTTTTCTGCCTCTTTTTAGGAAATGTAAGTTAAGAGAGAGTCTCCTTTACTGCGTTCACTACTGTCCTCACCCGTAAAAAAGGACAAGTCTGTTTGTTTTGTTTTTAAAATTGCAACAAGAAATAACGGAGTAAACGTAGTGTGGGGTGAGATAGGTAGGCTACTGCATTTCTAACCTGCCCTCTCCTGATATGTCCTGAAGTGAAACTCTTATTCTAGTTCTCTTTTGAATTGTCGGTAATTTAAAAAAGACTACAACTTATCAGACTCACCTGTTACCCAAAAGATCCTATGAATGTCCATGTACCATGTGTAAAATTTTATGTACCAATCCTTTTTCTCTGCATAATGTTTTACATCACTGAGTTGACTTGGGGAAACCCATCTTGTATTTTGTTCTTTTATTCGTGTAATACGCATGTATTTATGTATGTATGTATGTAACTCTGTTATTAAAATTGTTAGCAACAAAGGCAGCATGGGAACTGTAATGGAAGCCTATTTGCAGTGAGCTGACGAGAAAGACGACATGGACACAGAATGTGAAGACAGTTCTTTCCGGAAGTTTGGCTCTAAATGAAAAAAGAGAGGGGTCAGTAGCCAGAGAGAAAGGAAAAAAGAAAGGAAAGGGGGAGGGGTCTTTCTAAGGAAAGACTTAATGGTGATTATTAATACAAGACAGAAAACTAGTAGCTAGGAAAGTTTAAAGATATTTCCAAGAAAAAAAGATATACTCATTGGATGGTGCTATGAAGGAATATGAGCAAATGGGATCCACAGCTGACATCTATGCACACAGATTGGAGCCCGGGCTGGGAAGGGTGATGTCAGGTGGGGAGTTTAGAAAAGGATGTAGGGCAGCGTCTGACACAGGACCTACAGTTCCGGGGAAACATGGGAGAGGGGGAGGTGGGGGAAAGGAAGTGGTGTTAACAAACCCAGGGACAAGAGAACAAGTGATCCAAATCGGTGGTGAAGAGGGTGTGGGAGGCCTGATCGGGTGTGATAAAGGGTAATGTAACAAATAGGAATTACGGAAACCCAGGTGGGGACTGAGCATGATAGTGGGACAGGAGGAAAGTCAAAGGAAATAGAGGGAAGAGCTGGGGGACAAAGGGCATTTATAGAGGTCTGGATAAAGGCATGTACATATGCAGATATATTTATATATGAGGATGGGGAAATAGATCTATGTGTATATATTTATAGGTTTAGTATAAAGGTAGCAGAAGGACATTGGGCCTCCACTCAAGTACTCCCTCAATGCAAGAATACTTTCTTCTATTAAATTGGCATTCT